CTTTAATAAAAGTATTCAAGATCATCATGTGGAGGAGGGGTTGGTCTCATGGAGGTGCAGACAGTGTTTTGAGAAGAACTGCAAAAGAAAAGGAAAAAGGATGGAGGCTTTGGAGAAACAGCTATCTTACAAACCCAAGGAACTAAAAGACACTCCTAGGCCTTACCCTGTTTGGCCTTACTGTGTATTAGTTTGCGGAGTTTGGTGCAGCTTTCTTGTTTGGTGGTGGGTGGGGGGTCAACAGGATATAAATACCTGTAAAAAGTTGATTGGTTCACATTTGCACATCTTAATTTTTAAGTGACATTTGCATTTTAAGTTTATACACTGATTACATGCATATAATGCAACGTTTTCCTGTTGCAGTATTTTGTATGGTGCGTTTTTCTATGTTTTTAACAAAAGAGGGGAAAGAGACATTTAATTCAACCTAAGATGATTTGTTTTAATTTGCACATGGTCTTACTGAGGTGATCTAAAGTGAAATATGCATTTTTCTTTTCTTTTTATTTTTTTTTGTAATGTACTGGAAAAGCTTGAAAATGGACATTGAGTGCTTAAAAGTGCTTGAATTTGACCCTGGAAAATAAACTCTGTGTCCAGTAATGTTTTCTGTGGCTGTTTTTCTTTTCAAGTGTCTTTTAGGTGAAAGACGTCAAAGAGGACGTTGCTTCTTAATATTCCTGCAGTGTTCAATTATATTTTTCCTACAAACTGCTTATTACAGCTGGGCTACTTAAGGCTAGCGCTTTGCCAGAGGTCATGCCAGATTGTTGCACTACTTGTGCTACCCAAGCTGATAAACTTGTTTTTGCTAAACTTACCTTTGTTTCCTCTGTTTAGATGTTTTCTGCGTTGAGGAGAAATGTCAAGACAGAGCTAGAGAGTCTGAAAAGACAGATGCTTGCCTGTCCCCCTGCTTTAGCCAAGCAGTGAAGTCCAGTCTGGAAATGACTGTTTTCACTGCTCTGCTTGCAAACAACTCAGTCTAACTTTTACTCCTGTATTCCTGTTTTTGCCCAGGTTTTTTATTGTGCATGACAGGTTGTGTGATTGCAGATTAAATTTAAATTCCGACACGATATCTGACACAAAGGAACACCGAACCCTGTAGAACAAGTCAAACTCATTTTATATCAAGGGACTCATGGAGCCAACTTTGATCCTGAGTGGGCCGGACCAGCGCAACTCTGCTTTCTTAACTACGCATTTAATTCCTGAGATATCTAAATATAAGTAACAGAAGAGCAGCATGTCAGACTTTCTACAGAATAAGAAATTTGTCACCGTGACTGTTT